GAACGAATGTGGCCAAGTTCATTTTACGTGGCATTTCAGCTGCTCTAAGCGGGGTCTAATCGCCATCTTTCCACATAACAGCCTCTTTGCTAATCTTGGGCCTGCACCGCTTCAGCGGAGAGCCCCTTAATGAGGGTGAAGTGCAGTTCGCCTGCACAGTCGATTGACAAGACTGATGGGCTCAAGCCGGGAGAAGGGATGGCTTCCCGAGAGCCTCCGGGAGCGGGGAGCTCTCCCTCCTCCCACGGCCGGCTTTATCCTTCTGCACATTCCTCTCCCGTCATTTCTGTTGTCAGTTTTCTTGTCCTTGGTTTAGGGCGTCTTCCCAGTGTTTCAGCCGTCTTTCCATCTTTTTCTTTTCTCCCTTGCTGTAAGAGTAATTCTTGCCCGTCCCTGCCATCCTCACTTCTCCCTCTTGCTATCTTTACATTTTTTCCCTCTTTCCTATTGTCTTTTCTTATTGCTCTCTCCCTTCTGCTGTCATTCAATTTTTCTCTCTCCCTCCTTCTCGCCCCCTCTCACTCCCCCCTTTCCCTCTCACTCTGTGTCTCATTCTCCATCTCGGATGAAGGTAATGAAAATAATCGGGCTTCATTAATTCTGAGCCCTGTGAGATGATAGCCATTTGGAGCCATGTTTGCCAATTAGATGGTCTAAATTAGAAGTGACCTTGGTATACTGCCATCGCTTTGCCTCTCTGAGTCTAATGAAGCTTTTCACTCCAGCACCCTCTCTCTCTCTTTGTAATGGAAATTACCTCCTTTGTCTGGTTTGGGAACCTTGCATTGCATGTGTATTTCCCCCTGGTTGCATGGACGTAGGGATAGTAATGTATCTCCTCAGAGCCCTTCTAGAGATTTGCTTTTCAAAGCCGCATGATTTCAGCATTTTGGGGCATTTACGGAGGAACTGCATAGACTGTCCACACGTTCGGTCACTCGGTCCGGAGGAAAGTCAGAGCACTCAGATCCAGTGTGCAGATCCAGAGCACTCAGATCCAGAGCTGACTATTCACGCTATCCAAGATTAATTTTTTGGACGTGCCAAGAATATGCTTGTGTCACGTTGCTGGGGCCAGCGCAGGAGGGGTGTTGCAGCTCTGAGCCTCCGGCCCATGCTGATAAGCAGCTCTGCAGTTCATCGTCTTAAAAACCTGGTAGATCCAGTAGTGGAAGGAGCCACGCTTGTCACTGCTGTGTAGGTTGTCGCCGGTGAGGAGTGGACCCGCAGACTGGTGACGGGTCTGTAGGTGTCAGGGCATGTGCGATCTGCTGAGGATGCTCGTGGGGCAGGGAGGCAGGAGACATGGCGTGTCAGCCCTTGGGCTTTTTGTAACAGTCACTCACTGGACCACATTGTCTATAGAAATGGCCATCGAATTGGGGTGCCCATGCGTGTCAGTGGCTCTTGTCATAATAAAGAAATTTTATCTGCTTAAGGAGATCTGAATTTCATCTGAAAGAGAGGGTCCTTGGAAGCAGAGAGGCTTGTCCCAACAACTTTCCATCGTCTAAGGCAGGTAATTGGCTTCTCTGCAGTCTGCTCTAGACGGAAGTTCTCCAGCCGGCGTTCCCATCTCTAGTAGAGACCACAGGGGAGATATTTCAAAGTGGGGCGCAGAAGGGGCTGCCACAGTCTCTGGCCCAAACTTCCCACTCCTTTGCTCTTTACCCAAGCAAGTTCCTTACCCCACCGAGCGGGACGGGGTCAGGGGTGGGGACGGGGCGATTGGAGCGAAGGCCCTGAGTGCCTGCCCCAGCACTAGGGGTTTTCTTGGAGACATTGACTGTAGTCATTGAAGTACTGATAAACAGAACCTGATCCACGTGTTGGTATCCGAATGCCGGGCTGTCGGAAAGAGCGGGTAGGAGTGAGCTGCCGATCCCTCCCCACCTCCTGCGTCCGTTTGGACAGAAAGGTCAAGAGCGATGTGGGTCGAGGGGACCGTTTGCCTTCTGTGCGACAACCTAGAGGAGACCTCGGACGTAGGAGCAGCGGGGGGACGGGCGCCCTCGGGGCTGTGCGCAGAGGTGGATCTGGTCTGACAGACAGTGGTGTTTCCAAGCTGGAAGGCTTTGCTGGTGGCTTGTGGGCCATTAGATCGCGGCTGCAGCTGCGAAGGGGATAAGTTTAATGTTAGACAGAGCAAAGCGAGTATGTACAGAAGAAGGAAAGGGAGAAGACAAATCACATTTGTCGGACTTACATCTGTAGGGTGTTTTTTTTAATTACGGTTCAAACTGAGTGACTTGTTGCCATTGTGAAACAGCTGGTGTTGAAGAGACATTTAAAGAGGGAGATAGAGGTACTGAGCAGAGCTGAGGGTGGATGCCAGGATTACATGCCAGGTATTGCCTGCTCAGGTGAGAGGGAGGTAGAGGGCATTTAATGACCACATGCGCTAACACAGGCTGTGCTCGAAATAAACACGTTTCTCTCTATCACCAGAACAGTTAATGCCGTTTAAATACACCTGAAGTACAAAATGCTGTGTCGTAGAGCACCGCTCCTTGTTTATCTGTCGGGTGGCCGTGGCCTACTAAACCTTCCTGCCCCCTTGGTACTCCCACTATTTGTTCATATTAAAAGCAGCCGCAACGTGCGAGGCATTTTCTGCACATACAAGGAAATGCCATATCCTCGGACGGGTTTGCAGTCTAAAAGGACAAATAGCTCAAAATGGGCAGTCTGGAGTTCAGTGTAAATGCAAAATGATTTGAGATGTGCAGTCTATTTTCACTATGTTTATCTTTGCTACCTGCTCAGGGGGTGGTCCGTGGGGATGAAGAGACAGGGTAGTCCTGCCCTGGAAAATGGCATAGGAAACAGGCAGCACTTTCCAGAGAAGCCTGAATGATGCTAAACAGGTAGAGGACTCAAGTGGGTCCAGTTGCTGAAGCAAGACCAGTGCCTTATTTTCAAGGTTTTGCTTCCCAGGGCCAGCCCTGTGTGGCTGTCTGGACTGCCTGCAGCTGCCCTACATCCATATCCAGAATTTCTAGTTTCCTGCACTTTTCTCCAAGCTTTTTTCTGTTTGCCTTTTGGGATTTTGTGCCTGTAGCAATTTAATGTACCACAGCCTTTTTTTTTCCTTCTCCCCTTTTTTTTGTCTTTTTTTTTATTGTGGAGGGAGAGGTAGAAGTAGGGGTGAGAGCTGTGGCTATGGAGATGCAGGTAGATAAAGGTAATTACTTAAACACATATAGGGCAGGACTTACTGGTTTGGAGACCCAGATTAAGATGCAGAGGAGCATGTGAGGTTGATGATTATATTTCGGGGAGAGTTAATTGACGGAAGGTGAAGGCAGACAAAGAACCGCTGCTTACTGCCTTCTTGAATCCCAATCAGGAATTATGATTAAAGACGCGGCGAGACAACAGAGGCCTGATGAATTGGTGTCTCTTTTTTTTCTTTTTTGCCGTCATTCACACTTGATTGACTTCAACCTTTCAAGTGCAAAAGTCTCTCTTTTCCATTATTATTCATAGCCATCTGAGTTTTTCTAATTAAAGTGTATGAAAACAATTACTGATCCGTCGTACTGAGTGTGGTAGTGAGGATGGCTGCCTTACTGTAATGCGTATAAAAAGCCCACAGTTTTCTATAATGATGTGCAGCTGAGGTGTTAGATAATTTTATTCTTTTTCTACTCTGTTGGGGTTTTTTTTAATTTCTCATGATTTATTTTTCATAATTCCTAAAGATCCTAGGAAAGCGCTCTCCCTGCTGATAAAGCTAAGAGGGACAGCTCCTTCTTGTCTTCCCTCCTTTGCGTTCCTGCTCGTCCCCCTCCTCCGAGCCCGGCTACCGGGAATTAACCAGTGACCTTTCACGTCTCCCAGCCCACCACCCACCACCATCAGATGCTCCCGCTTAGAGTAAAAGGTGGAATGAATTTGGTGTGCTCAGCTTCCCTCCTGGTGATCTGTCAGTGTCAGCTGCCTTTCCTGCAGACCTCTGTGGGACCCAGCGCTCATCTCCGTGCACTGGCCGTCCCAGTAAAGGGGGGGAGCTCAGCATTCCTCCCCAGTGCGGTTCGGATGTCTGCAGCCACTCTAACGCGAACATTTGTTTCTGAGGTTTTTCATGGACTGTTTTTGCTTCCGTTCACTTAGTGAAGCCAATGTCTAGTTTGTGTTTGCTTGGATTTGACATGCGTGTAGATAAGGAAGATTTTATGTCCTGCACATGGGTTTACCTTCAGCTTCACCACGGATTTGCTAATATCTCAAGCAGTTCAATCAGAGCCTTGCGGTCCTTGACTTTGCAGAAAGCAAGGTACACTGGTTGCAGATAACAGCCTCACTCACTCGTCTGAAATCCAAGGTTCAACTGCCCTCTTAGTATCTGACAGAAGGATGGAGAGACTTGATTTGCTAGGAAACATACCTGTCTAGGAGTGTTTATTTATGCCTCACTTTCCCAGCAGTCAGAGGCTGGGAGCACAAGCACCACAAGCATTGCAAGTCAGTGGTGGTTTCTGTTCCTTCAAGTACTACAGCCCTGGTGAAAGGGAAATGTTCCCTGAGCTTCAGCGGAATGAAGCGTGTGGCTGCTCAGAGCTGTAGAGGTGTCTTCACTTGCCACAAGCGTTTAACCAGTGCTGGCAGCCGTGTGCTGGAATATGTCATAGATGATGGTGATACAGGTTTGTCTTTCCAGTTGCTGCTCTGGGGAGAAGGGCTGTGGGGCAGCTTTTCAGGTGGTGTGAGATACTGACTCTGGACATTCAGAAGGGTGTTCATTGTCCTGCATCTGATACCAACCATGTGCAAACTGCTAGCGAGGTAGTTTGTATGTTCTATGCGTGATTGGATACACGCAAAGAAACACAGTTTTCCAGAAAAAGATGAGCGTACGCATGTGACTCTTTCAAAGAGTATCTCTAGTTGAAGCACGCAAACTCTCCAGCTCTTTAAAAATGTTGGTGTTCAAGCACTGCACTGGTTATGATCGTGCAGGGTCTAGACAAACACTTAAAGAGAGGCGAAGGGAACACATCAGTCAGAGCAAGGAAAGGGTTACCAAAAGCTTTTCATTTCACAGACAATTTGCTGTCTTTTTAGTCTTTCCTTATTCATCCTTTTCTTTATCACCTCTCTCCTTATTTGTACTTTTCTTTCTCATGCCCCTCCTTTTCCTGCATCAATACGCTTTGAAAACAGTGCTGCAATGCTCCCTAGTTCAAGATTACAGTGTACTTTACGAGGTATGATTTAATTAGGGTCCTTATTATGTTTTCAGCAGCTTAAGGTGGGCCTTTCAACTTATCTACCTAATTGGTTGCACAAGAAGTTTCACAGCCCATGACAAAACATTGTCAGTGATCAAAGTCTGAATTCTACATAAAGGGAAAATATTAATAATAAGATTATTCTTCAAGTGTGCACAGCTAATTATGTCCAGAATGTAACTGTAGAAACACTTTTGACTGATGTGAGCTTTGTCTAATAAACATGAGTCTCCAGCGAGCTATGAAAAGTGACGCCTCTGACTTTACAATACTGGTGTCTAATTTTGCCACTAAAGGTGTTTAAAATATTTTCCTGTGTTTTTCTTCTCCCCACATCCTTCCCTCCCTGTCTCCAGGTGACAACACCTGAGGTGATGATGCCCAGCAGCATGTTTCTCCCAGCAGCCGCTCCAGAGAAAGACGGGAACTCCGCTGCAGAGGAGCTGGGGAAGCAGCCTGGTGAGTGCGGCTCAATGAGGTCCAGGGGTCCCACCACTCCCCCAGCTCCCATCACCTGGTCAGGGACTGTGTCTGGGGACATCTCCGCATGGGTGAGCTCCTTGTGCCCAGCGTCTCCTGAGAACCACAGTCGGACGGTGCCCAGCAGGGCCATCTCCCTTCATCTGTGTCACAAACAGGCTGGTGCCCCGGGTGTCCCCATGGCAGGGCAGAGCAGGGCGGCTCAGAGCTGAGGAGCACAGCTCACCACCATGGCGATTCGCGTGGAAATGGTGTTGAATCCTTGCAAAGGAGAAGACCAGATGTGAGCAGTGAAAAGCAGAGGTGGTAGAGGGCTGAGGGGATTGGTAGAGAAACGCCGAAGGTTGCAGCTGCCGCCCTCAGACTGTGCTACCACCTCTACTTGCTCTGCTGCTATCGTAGATCAAGTACATACGCTGGGCACACAGTTTGGGGAGCTTTGAGCTGCTGCGGTCCTTATCCAGTCCAAATGTCCTCCACCTTTTTCATTGCCATGCTGTGTTAGGAAGGCATGACTGTAAATCAATGGCTATTTAGTCCTGGCTTTGTAGTGTGATGTGAGAGCATCCCAAGAACATCATTCTGCGTGGGCAGAAGTGTCTGATCTCAAACCTGGCAGGGAAACAGTGCCGATCTTCCTTCTGTGACCTCTTGGAAGGTCTGTAAGGAATCTGGGAATGAAGACAGCCGTTGTTACCTTTCAGGCAGACAGCCCCAAGGCAGTGATGCTGGTGGGGCAGCACTGGCACAGCCAGGGTAGCTAATGCTGCCCTGGGCAATGGGATCCCTTTTTTGGCCTCTGCCCATATAACGCTGTCTTTTCTGGCAGGACTGTGCTCTTAGACCCTGGAAGAGTGGCAGTGCACTAAGTGTTTGCTCCTTCTTCTCCCATCCTTCCTCAAACAGCACCCTTTGAGCTGCTGCCAGCAGGACCTGAATTTCATTCCTGTTGTTTCTAGCTTTGTTAGGACCAAGACTCAAATACTACGTTCAGTTTGATGAACCTTCTTATTGGAAAAGAGGCAGGACATCAAAGAAAAACAGCAAAGACAGACAGGTGGCTGAATGGCCTTCACTTAAAAGGAAGAATTAAAGGTGATAAATGCACTAAGGGAACGTGTGTGTGTGAATAACTTCCAGATATTCAAAGTGGGCAAGAAAGTAAATTGTGTAGCTTTATGCAATGGGCCATGATGAGGGTAATGGGCTGGTATTAAAATAAATGAATGAAGATAGAGAAGAAATGTTAGAAATCGTGTCATCTTGCAGAGAAAAAAACATGGCCATATTAGGGACAAAAAGAGGGTGTTGATCAGCCCTTTTGTGCTGGGGTAATTTTCAGGTTTGCTCTGATTTTGTTTTCACAGAGATCTCTGAGGACTCTTAGTCTTTTGCCATCGGAAAGCGCAGAGCACAGCGGAGATCCCAAGCCCGTTCCGGCTGATCAGAGCTCTGCCAGGGAGGACTCCGGCTTCCTCTGCTGGAAGAAGGGCTGCAACCAGGTGTTCAAGAGCTCGGCAGCCCTGCAGACACACTTCAACGAAGTACACGCAAAGCGGCCTCAACTGCCGGTGTCCGATCGCCACGTCTACAAGTACCGTTGTAACCAGTGCAGCCTGGCGTTCAAAACCATTGAGAAGCTGCAGCTCCATTCCCAGTACCACGTCATCCGGGCGGCCACGATGTGCTGCCTCTGCCAGCGCAGCTTCCGAACCTTCCAGGCCCTGAAGAAGCACCTGGAAAGCAGCCATCTGGAGCTGAGCGAGGCCGACATTCAGCAGCTGTATGGTGGTCTCTTGGTCAACGGGGACCTCCTTGCTATGGGCGATCCTTCACTTGCAGAAGACCACACTATAATAGTCGAGGAAGATAAGGAGGAGGAGAGTGACTTGGAAGATAAGCAGAGCCCGACAGGTAGCGATTCGGGGTCGGTGCAAGAGGACTCTGGCTCAGAACCAAAAAGGGCCTTACCCTTCAGGAAGGGCCCTAACTTCACTATGGAGAAGTTCCTAGATCCATCTCGCCCTTACAAGTGCACAGTCTGCAAGGAGTCTTTCACGCAAAAGAATATTCTCCTGGTCCATTACAATTCAGTTTCTCATCTGCATAAACTGAAAAGAGCCCTCCAAGAGTCTGCTACTGGGCAGCCCGAACCTACCAGCAGCCCAGACAACAAACCTTTTAAGTGTAACACCTGCAACGTGGCCTACAGTCAGAGCTCAACCTTGGAGATCCACATGAGGTCTGTCCTGCACCAGACCAAGGCTCGTGCTGCCAAGCTGGAGGCAGCTGGGGGCAGCAGCAGTAGTAACGGAGCTGGCAACAGCAGCAGCAGCAGTCTCTCTTTGGGTTCATCCACGCCAAGTCCAGTGAGCGCTAGCAACAGTAATACTTTTACAACCACCAACACAAGTAATTCGGGCACAACTCCCATTCCCAGCCTGCTCAACCAGGTATCCGGCGACAATGTGGGAATTCCTCCTTTAGGTAACCCTGTAAGCACTATTTCCTCCCCTTCGGAGCCCAAAGAGGTAAACCGAAAGAAGCTGGCAGACATGATTGCGTCCAGGCAGCAGCAGCAGCAGCAGCAGCAACAGCAGCAGCAGACAGCAGCAGCAGCAGCAGCAAGCTCAAACCTTGGCACAGGCACAGGCCCAAGTCCAGGCCCATCTGCAGCAAGAACTGCAGCAGCAAGCTGCTCTCCTGCAGTCTCAGCTGTTCAACCCAGCACTTTTGCCGCACTTTCCGATGACCACTGAGACCCTTCTGCAGCTTCAGCAACAGCAGCATCTTTTGTTTCCTTTCTACATCCCCAGTGCTGAGTTCCAGCTCAATCCAGAAGTTAGTTTGCCTGTCACCAGTGGTGCACTGACATTGACTGGTACGGGTCCAAGTTTGCTGGAGGACTTGAAGGCTCAAGTTCAGCTCCCTCAACAGAGCCACCCACAGCTCTTACAGCAGCAGCAAGGTCAGCTGTCCTTGTCACAACCTCACTCCGTCCTTATACAGCAGAGCCAGCACCCTGAGAAGAAGAATAAATCTGCAGTGAAGGAGAAAGAAAAAGAAACCCCACGGGAAAGGGAAAGCACAGAGAGGGGAGACAATAATGTAGCATCTAAGGAGTCTCTGCCTGATAACTTAAAGCCCAAAGAGAAGAAGGACTTTGTACCAGGCAGTAGTTCGGAACCTTCCTTACTGCCTCCACGTATTGCCTCTGATGCAAGAGGGAATGCCACAAAAGCCTTGCTGGAAAACTTTGGCTTTGAGCTTGTCATTCAGTATAATGAGAACAAGCAGAAGGTGCAGAAGAAAAATGGGAAGACAGAGCAAGGTGAGAACTTGGAAAAGCTTGAGTGCGATACATGTGGCAAGTTCTTTTCAAACATCCTTATCCTGAAGAGCCACCAAGAGCATGTTCACCAACATTACTTTCCCTTTAAGCAGTTAGAGAGATTTGCCAAACAATACAGAGAACACTATGACAAACTGTACCCACTACGGCCTCAAACCCCAGAGCCACCGCCACCACCTCCACCGCCCCCACCTCCACTCCCTCCAGCACCTCCTCAGCCGGCTTCTACTCCTACCATTCCTACTTCTGCCCCACCGATTACCTCTCCTACAATCGCACCAGCCCAGCCGTCTGTGCCACTCACCCAGCTCTCCATGCCAATGGAGCTCCCCATCTTTTCACCACTTATGATGCAAACCATGCCACTACAAACGTTACCTGCTCAGCTGCCGCCCCAGCTTGGTCCCGTAGACCCTCTGCCTGCCGACTTGGCCCAGTTGTACCAGCATCAGCTCAACCCTAGCCTTCTCCAGCAGCAGCAGAACAAGAGGCCACGGACGCGGATCACCGATGACCAACTCAGAGTCCTTCGGCAGTATTTTGATATTAACAATTCCCCAAGTGAGGAACAGATCAAAGAGATGGCGGACAAATCTGGATTGCCCCAGAAGGTGATCAAGCACTGGTTCAGAAACACTCTTTTCAAAGAACGCCAGCGCAACAAGGATTCCCCATACAACTTCAGTAATCCTCCCATTACCAGCCTGGAAGAACTGAAGATAGACTCACGGCCTCCTTCTCCAGAACCTCAAAAGCAGGAGTACTGGGGAAGCAAGCGGTCCTCCCGGACACGCTTTACTGACTACCAACTCAGAGTCTTGCAGGACTTCTTTGATGCCAATGCTTATCCAAAGGATGATGAATTTGAGCAGCTTTCTAACTTGCTGAACCTCCCAACGCGTGTTATAGTGGTGTGGTTCCAGAATGCCCGCCAAAAAGCTAGGAAAAACTATGAGAATCAGGGAGAAGGCAAAGACGGGGAACGACGGGAGCTTACAAATGACAGGTATATTAGAACAAGCAACTTGAACTACCAATGCAAAAAGTGCAGTCTAGTCTTTCAGCGCATTTTTGATCTCATTAAACACCAGAAAAAGCTTTGTTACAAAGATGAGGATGAGGATGGACAGGATGATAGCCAGAATGAAGACTCTATGGATGCAATAGAGCTCTTGACTCCAACCAGTTCCTCCTGCAGCACACCAATGCCCTCGCAAGCTTACAGCACACCTACGTCTTCAGCCAATGCAACCTCCTCAGCTTTTCTGCAGCTCACAGCAGAGGCAGATGATTCCTCCGCCTATAGTTCTAAAGTAGAAGCTACAGATGAGAAACCAAAGCAGTCTGAACCTCCAAGTACACAGCAAAACCAAACTCAAGAGAAACAAGTGCAACCAAAGCAAGAGTCTCAGCAGCAACAGGACCAAGGGGAACAAAAGACAAGTTCAGCACACCAAAAGATTTCACAGTTATCCTCCCCCTCTTCATTGCAACAGCCACCTCCCCCTCCTCAGCCCCCTCAGTGCTCCTTGTCACAGTCAAGCCCAAGTCCATCTCAGCTCTCACATCTCTCCCTCAAACCCATTCACACATCCACCCCTCAACAGCTGGCAAACCTACCTCCTCAGCTAATCCCATACCAGTGTGACCAGTGTAAGCTGGCATTTCCTTCCTTTGAGCATTGGCAGGAGCATCAGCAGCTTCATTTTCTGAGTGCACAGAACCAGTTTATCCACCCCCCATTCCTGGACAGAACGCTGGATATGCCGTTCATGCTTTTTGATCCCAGTAATCCACTACTTGCGAGCCAGCTGCTATCTGGAACATTACCACAGATTCCAGCAAGCTCAGCCACTTCCCCGTCAACTCCAACATCCACAATGAATACACTGAAGAGAAAGTTGGAGGAAAAGGCCAGTGCAAGCCCTGGAGAGAATGACAGTGGGACTGGAGGAGAAGAACCGCAAAGGGATAAACGTCTAAGGACAACCATTACCCCAGAGCAGCTGGAAATTCTTTATCAGAAATACTTGCTCGACTCCAACCCAACACGGAAAATGTTGGATCACATTGCACATGAAGTGGGCTTAAAGAAACGTGTGGTGCAAGTTTGGTTTCAGAACACCCGTGCACGAGAAAGAAAGGGGCAGTTCAGAGCTGTAGGGCCTGCCCAAGCCCATAGACGGTGTCCCTTCTGCCGAGCTCTTTTTAAAGCCAAGACAGCTCTCGAAGCTCATATCCGATCCCGTCACTGGCATGAGGCCAAGAGAGCTGGATACAACTTGACGTTGTCTGCTATGCTCTTAGATTGTGATGGGGGACTCCAGATGAAGGGAGACATCTTTGATGGAGCAAGCTTTTCCCACATGCCACCAACTAGCAGTGATGGACAGAGTGTTCCTCTCTCCCCAGTGAACAAGACCATGGAACTGTCACCTCGAACTCTGCTGAGTCCATCCTCCATTAAGGTGGAAGGGATAGAAGACTTTGAGAGTCCCTCCATGTCCTCAGTCAATCTGAGCTTTGACCAAACAAAGCTGGACAATGATGACTGCTCTTCTGTCAACACTGCAATTACAGACACTACAACAGGAGATGAAGGGAACGCAGACAACGATAGTGCAACAGGGATTGCAACCGAAACCAAATCAGCGTCGGGACCCAGTGAAGGTCTGACAAAAGCTGCCATGATAGCAATGTCTGAATATGAAGATCGGCTGTCTTCTGGCCTGGTCAGCCCAGCTCCCAGCTTTTACAGCAAAGAGTACGATAATGAAGGTACTGTGGACTACAGTGAAACATCCAGCCTTGCCGACCCCTGCTCACCCAGCCCTGGTGCAAGTGGTTCAGCCAGCAAGTCTGGAGAGAGCGGGGATCGGCCCGGACAGAAACGCTTTCGCACTCAGATGACTAATCTCCAGCTAAAAGTTCTTAAGTCATGCTTTAATGACTACAGGACACCTACCATGCTGGAGTGTGAGGTCCTGGGCAATGACATTGGACTGCCAAAGAGAGTTGTTCAGGTCTGGTTCCAGAATGCTAGGGCAAAGGAGAAGAAGTCCAAACTCAGCATGGCCAAGCATTTTGGTATAAACCAAACAAGTTACGAGGGACCCAAAACAGAGTGCACTTTGTGTGGCATCAAGTACAGCGCTCGACTGTCTGTACGTGACCATATCTTCTCTCAACAGCATATCTCCAAAGTTAAAGAAACCATTGGAAGCCAGTTGGATAAGGAAAAGGAGTATTTTGACCCAGCTACTGTACGTCAGTTGATGGCTCAGCAGGAGCTGGACCGGATCAAAAAAGCCAATGAGGTTCTTGGTCTGGCAGCTCAACAGCAGGGCATGTTTGATAACGCCCCTCTGCAAGCTCTTAACCTTCCTGCTGCATACCCAGCACTACAGGGCATCCCTCCAGTCTTGCTCCCAGGCCTCAACAGCCCATCCTTACCAGGCTTCACTCCATCCAACACAGGTGGGTACAAGATATTATCACACTGCTCAGAGACACAGCTTAACTTGACACATCTTTAGCACAAGCAAATGTTCCCTTGAGAATGACTGATAATAGGATACCCAGCCCTTTAGTCAAGCATGTTTACTTGACAGCGAATACGCAATAGGTATTTTATCTTTAAATCCTGAACTCAGGTTTTCTAGCAAAGTCTGAAATAGAGCAAGATTTAGACATACTGCATAACTCCGTTTCGTTAGCACAGACTAAAAATTCTGAAGCACCTTCAAGGAAATGGAAAATAGAGGATGTATTAAACGGAACAGGAAAAGGACTAATGTGCTGAATGCATTGTTCATTATACCTTTCCTTTTGTTATTAAATTCAGTTTATGTAGTGCCATCCCAAGTTTTCAATAATTCTGAACTGTTTCTAGGGAAAAGTGTGATGTGCCTGGTAGCACTGGTGACACAAACCTGGAGCATCTTTATTTAATGTCCTTATGGTGACCTCCAGGACAAATCCCGATGCAACTGTGGATTGTTTTTTGAGCACTGGCTGGGCATGACCTGAAAATACCTTCTCAACAATCAACAGTGTAGTCGTGGGACAAATCTACTTTGTATTTTAACAAGATTTTTCTTAACAATACTACGTAAAAATGAAATTTGGCATAGTCCCTTGGGTGGCCTAATCCCAGATATTGGACTTTGGTTTTTGAGGATGCTCCTTTCCCTTGTACCTGCTGGACGGGTGGAAAGTGTAAGATGTGTAGCAAACACTGGCAGTGGAAGATACTGCTCAGTAAACTAGTAGTAGACTAGAAAACTTGATCCAAGGGCCTTATTTCACCCCCGCTACATCCGTGGCATCCCAGAGACATGCCTGTGTCTGAATTGCCACTCATAACAGAATAATTGATGTTCTCTAGGAGACTTGCTTTCACTTGGCAGACTTCTCCATTTACTTCTGATGGTCCCTCTTCAAGTTGACTTTCACCAGGGCTGTTCTGTGTTTACAGAGATATCCTGAGAACTGATTCCAGTGTCTTGTCTTGGCAACAGGCTGCGTCTGTCTGAGGCTGGAAAGCCCGTGACATAGTAACGCCTGGTACGGTTACACCATATGCCACTGTGCACCTTTGTTTTCTACACTGTGGCAATACAGGTCTACTGCTGTTAGACAGTGTCCAGAAACGATAACTTTCTCTTATTGTACTGAACTAATTGGCTAACGATGAGTTATAATCCATGGTGTGAAGCCTAAATAGGATCTGAGCATCTTCCTGGCTTCTTAATTGGAAACCGGAGTGCTATCAGTCTCCAAAAAGACTTTCTGATGCTTTTATTCAGCAGGCTGACTCTGAAGTTCCTTTTTCAACAGATTGAAAAACTCAGTGCAAATGCTGCCAGGTAACATGGTTATGTCATGTTAATAAAATTGCCGTCTTGTTTTGTCATCCAGGAGATAAATCTTTGGATAAGCAAATCAAAGCCTTAGACAAAAGGATAGTAGCTGGTGTGAGCAGCTACATGGAACTTGAACAGCTCATCTGACATTCGCAGGGGGGACTGGCTGCAGAGCTGCTCGCTGTAAATCACATCACTAGCGCCTGAAGTTTGTGTGTGGTTGGAGTGGCATTGGGTATAACACCCGAAAGAGAGCACTAGAGACCCATCACTCAAAACAGGCATCTTTCTCTCCTCTTGGAAGTGGCTGTGTTCACCTTTTTCTCTATTACTGCTTGTCTCTGAAATATCTTCTGTTGACAAATGAAAAAGAGTTAAATCTCACTGTATCTGTTGGGTTCTGGCCTTTCCAAAGATGAACCACTCTCTTGGAGTCAAGATCCTTTTTTCCACGAGAGCAGCAGAGGGGATTACCTTGTAGCATGGTTGCTGATGTCCGTGTCAGAAGGTCCTATCAAGAGCAGAAAAGATCAGAGTAAGTTTTTCTGGAATCTGGAAAAGCTTTCTGCTGGGAGTTAGGGCCTCTGCAATGCTTTTTTGCATAGTTACAGAACTCTTCCCCAAAGCAAAAGTAAAGTCGTTCTTGACTGTAGTTGTAGGATAGGTCATTGTAATTAAACCATTTTTAAAAACAGTTGCTGTTAGCAATTCTTCTGTTGAGGTCTTGAATCTAGTCCTAGCTACATGTCTGAAGGGCATCTTTGCATGTCAGGACTTCTGTTCTTACTGAAGATCTCGTTTCAGAGGCCAAAACTAGACCAAGAGGATCTCTTTGGCAAATTATATTGTCAGCCTATCGCAGATTGCTCTGTGCTGTTTACTTAGTACCCCAAATTTAAAACAAGATCTAAAATTACTTTTTTGCACTTCAATCTGTATTCTTGCTTTTATTTTTCTCCGAAGACCAGTATGTGTCCTGGGGCTACATACTATGAATGTTAAAAGCAATCAGTGACTGCCTAGACAGGACTAAGCTATTTAGAAAGTCAAACAGACTATTTGTGGCCTTTAGATAAAGCTCCAAAGGTCAGGCCATCTCAGCTCAAAGCCTGTCGAAGCAGATAAGGCTGTGCATCCAGGAATGTTATGCGTTAGCCGCTGCTCCTGCGCTTGAACATCTCAGGGACAGTTTAACTAGGGAACATCAGTTTCAATGGCACCTATCCATAATACGCCCTTATCTGAAATCTATAAGGCTGCTGCGCGGAGGCTCACTTCATACACTTCATACCGTCATAAATCACTATTGTCTCGATCCCCGGAACAGATA